ACAAATAGTCTCTGGCCAGTGTCCTAGTCCCCAGGTATCTGTCTGCGATGGGGCATATTTGGAATCCTGGAAAACAGTCCTGGTCGCCTCCTCTCAGTCAGAAACTCAATGGCAGAGGGCAGATTCACAGCAGACAAAAGGAAACACTTATTCGCATCGTGCATAGTTTGCTTGTGGAACTCACTGTCACAACGTGCAAAGAACATTTCCTTGGATGGCTTTAAGAAGGACAAATTCATGGAGAGTTAAAAGTAAGACTCAACAGAGGACTAATTAAATTAATTTGATTTACTTTATTCATAGCTCACCTTCCTCCCCAATGGGGACTCAAAGCAGCTAACATCATTCTCCCTTTCCTCGATTGTATCCTCACAACCACCCTGCGAGGCAGGTTAGGCTGAGCAGGTATGCCTGGCCCAAGGTCACCCAGCAAGGTTCCGTGGCGTGAGGGGATTCGAACCTGGGTCCTCAGATCCTAGTCTGATGTTTTAACTACTACGCCCTGCTGGCTCTCTCAGGCAATTAATTCTGATGGCTAAATGGAACCTCCACATTCAGGAGTGGTATACACTGAGTGACGGTTGTTGAGAGGCTCCAGGAGGGAGAGGCTTTGGCTGTGCTGCGCCTCTGCTTGGGGCCCCTCTGGGGCTATCTGGTTGGCCGCTGTGGGAAGGAGAATGCCAGTCTAGGCGGACCTGATCCATGCGCCCGATCTTATGACAGTGCCCTTGTGGCAGCCCTGCAGGAGGGAGATCCACCCTTCCGGCACTGGTGTTGAAGAGGCCTTACTCTGTGTGTTGGGGGAGGGAGGGAGGGCTGTGCAGTGTGGGGTAGTGGTCAGAGTATCAGACTGGTATCTGGGAGACCTGGGCTCAAATTTCCACTCTGCCACAGAAGCTCGCTGGGCGACCTTGTCCGGTTGCAAACACTCAGTCTAGCCTACCTACCTCGCAGGGTTTCTGTGAGGGTAAAATGGAGGCGAGGGAAAGGGTGCCATTTCCTTTTGGGTCCCCATTGGGGGAAAGGCAGGATATCAGTGAAGTAAATAAAGATGGGCAGCTGCATTAGTTTGTCTGAGCCAGTTTGATGTAGTGGTTAAGTGTGCAGATTCTAATCTGGGAGAACCGGGTTTGATTCCCCACTCTTCCACATGCAGCTGCTGGATGACCTTGGACAAGCCATCGTTCTGTCAGAGCTGTTCTGGAAGAGCAGTTCTTGAAGGAGCTCTCTCAGCCCCACCTACCTCACAGGGTGTCTGTTGTGGGGAGGGGAAGGGAAAGGAGTTTGTAAGCCGCTCTGAGACTCCGCGGGAAGGGCGGGGTATAAATCTAATCTCTTCTTCTTCTTCTTCTTCTGTAGGAGTAGGAAAGAGCAAGAGACCAGGAGCACCTTAAAGACTAACCAAATCTATGGCAGGGTATGAACTTCCGCGAGTCACTGCTTACTTCTTCAAAAGTGACTTTTTTTCTAGCCGTATCTGAAGAAGTGAGCAGTGACTCACGAAGGTTCCTCCCCTGCCACAAATTTTGTTAGTCTTTGAGGTGTTACTGGACTTGCTCCTTTCTGCTGTAAATAAATGTGTTTTGTTTTCCTGCTTCACAAAGTGACGGTCTCACAGTCCCGAGCACTCTGCCTCCATAATAAGCTTGTTGCCATTGAGCCGTAAGGAGCGAACATTCATGGAGCATTTGCACACCGGCCTAATATGGCATACAGAGATATGTACGTTTGTATGCAGCAAACTGGTCCCGTCCGAAGACGACCAGTTGGCTGAGCCAGCATGAACATTTCAAGGAACAAACCTGCTGTGGGAAGGTTTGCAGTCCATCTTCTGTGAGTGAAAGGGAAGCTTGGCCGAGGTTAAAAACCTCTCAGAGGCCCTCTGGACAGGAATAGTATAGGGGGGTGCATGCTGAGAGTTGCAAACAAAGTCATCTCTTTCCACCTGAACAGGTAGACACCTTGCTTGTCTGTGGCACAGCCCAGTTTTCTGCTTTCATGGTTGGCACAGTGAGTGAACTTGAGGGCATCCAATGAAACCGGCGGGCAGTAGGTTCAGGGCGGACAAAAGGAAATACTACTTTACACTGGGAGTGACTAAAATGTGGAATTCGCTGCCAGAGGATGTAGTGATGGCCACAGGAATGAACAGCTTTAAAAGGGGATTAGGTAGATTTATGGAGGACAAGTCTATCAATGGCTACTAGCCATGGTGACTGAGGGGAACCTCCACACTCAGAGGCACTAATCCGCTGAATCCCAGACCCAGGAGGCAGCATCAGGGGAAGGCCTCGGCCTCTAAGCCCTGTGGTTGGCTGTCCAGAGGAACTGGTTGGCCACTGTGGGAGATGGGATGCTGGACTGTTGGTCTGATCCAGCAGGGCTCTTCTGATGTTCTTGTGATGAGATTGTTCTTGGAGAGCAGGGAAAGTTATGCGGCAGGGAGGCCCAAACGCTGAAAGAACAGTGGAGAGCCAGCAGTCTGAGGAACAGGTGGGCTGGAGGTGGCCTGAGGAAAGGTGCACACGTAGGAGGAAGTCGGGGGCTCAATTTTACAGGTAGGTTTGAACTAACCAGCTGGAAGACATTTCAAAGAACCAATTGGTAGATGAACCACGTCATGATTTAAGATGTATTCAGAAGAAAAATAAAAGGGTTTCTGTGCTGCCAGTGAGTCATTTCCTCTCTCAACGCCCCCCCCCCATCTCATTAGATTCACGAAAGCAGCCCACTGGACCTCGCTAGTGAAGAGCCAGAACGCCTTCCCTGTCTGCAGCGTCTCCTCGAACTCGGTGCTGATGTCAACGCATCCGACAAACATGGTCAGTGCCTGCTTGCTTTGTCTTTCTTCTCCCCCGTCTCTCCCCCCTGCCCCCAATTTTGGGACGAATGTGCCCATGTGGGATGGAGCCGGCGCACTCAATCTTTACTTGCCTTCAGCGTGTGCGGCCCTGTTATCTGCTGTGTTGTGTACACGGACTACACATACACATTCGCGCTTGACAATGGAGAGGAGGTGGTGTCTTGGCTCCCGTTGACACGATGTCCAGCCATGTGTCTCTGACACCATCCTCCTTTGGAACTGTGGCATTGTCGGTCTTTGATGGGTAGTCTCTGTCTCTCCCCCCCAGGAAAGACAGCGTTGCTCCACGCTCTGGCCAGTAGCGACGGAGTTCAGATCCACAACACAGAAAACATTCGTCTCTTGCTAGAAGGAGGTGAGATTCCGCTCCCCATCCCCAACTCTACCATTCCTTTCCTTGAGAGCCCAAATCCTGCACTGGTTATCACATTTGCCCTTGAAATCATACAGTTCTTACCTACCTCTCAGGGCATAGAGGAGACTGACATACGTCACTCGGATCTCCTCAGAGGAAAGTTGGTGTAACAGATTTTTGAAAGAGGTTCTTTGTCCTCCCTCTCCTCAGGTGCAGATGTCAAGGCCACTACCAAAGATGGCGACACCGTCTTCACCTTCATCATCTTCCTCCTGGGAGAGATGGTGGGAGGGGACAAGGACGAGGCCCAGAAGATCAGCCGCTTCTGCTTCCAGGTCACGCGGCTGCTGATGGCCCACGGCGCTGACCCTAGCGAGTGCCCCTCCTACGAGTCCCTCACCCACCTCTGCCTGAAGAGCTTCCGTCTCCATTTCCCACTCCTGCGCTTCCTCCTGGAGTCGGGGGCCTCCTACAACTGCTCCCTCCACGGACCCTCGTGCTGGTCAGGCTTTGACATCATCTTCGAGAGGCTGTGCTCCCACATCAGCGAATCCGAAGACGACAGCTTCTCCATCGACCTCCTGCAGAAGGCCGAGACGGCGCTGGAGCTCATGATGGCCAGCTCTCCGGCCGTAAAGCTGCCGAGCCCTTTCGAGGTCAACCTGAGCAACTGCCGCTTCCACAAGGAGAAGATCAAGACCCTCTTCTGCTCCCTCAAGCAGCTGGAGCACTCTCCGCCCACCCTGAAACACCTCTGCCGAGTCCACATCCGCCAGAGCCTGCGACCCTGGCCGGTGGAGGTCAAGGTCAAAGCCCTTCCGTTGCCCGAGAGACTAAAGTGGTACCTCCTGATAGACCACGGCAGTTCCACGGAACAGGATGTGTGAGTTAGCGGGGCAGAGCATGGACCTAGACACCTCACCACACACATGAAACACAGGCTGTGGAGTGTGCCAGCATGCTAAAGATCTTCATTGCGAGCTCAACTCCAGCTGGTTGGTCTCCACAGAGTTCATAAATTGTCACATCTGGTGGTGACCCTCCATCCTTCTGTGAACACCTGGCCTTTGTTCCCTTAACCGAAGGATAGGCATCGTTCTCTGATGGGACAGAATCTGGGACTAAACCGCATGATCACGGGTAGCTGAGGGAAAGGAGGTCTTCCTTGGCAGGTTGGATCTGTGCCTTGACCAACGAGAACTCAGCTTGAACAATCCTGCCCAACTCTTCAGCCTGCATTTCTGGCAAATGAGAATGTTCAGCAGTTCCGCTTGGCCAATAAAATCACGTGTCTGCACCAGTTAAGGTTTGTGAGGGTCTGTCTTTTTGTGTGTGTGTGTGTGTGTGTGTGTGTGTGTGTGTGTGTGTGTTTAAAAGATGTCAGATTTTTCTGCAAACCTGGGGGGGGCAAGTCTCCAGGAAGATCTGTTCAGTGTCATTGTGGACCAAATCCATAGATTTAGGTATCTGCAGATAAAGGCTACACTTGAGAAACAGATATATAGAAAATGTGCACCATCAAATCCCATACTATTAGAATGAGCAATATTTGATCTTCTGAATTTAACTTTCCTTCTGCCTATTTTTGTCACCACCACCACCCATTCAGTTCTCCAACCAAGATAAATATTTTATTATCATTTGCCTTGCCCTGTTTAAACTCATAATGCTTCATCCTTCTCTGTTGTTTGTCCAGCTGTTTAACTTCCATATCCAATAGTTTCAAGTTCTCTATTAATGCTTCAGGAACCATCCCTACATTCACAGTTTCCAGCAACCTCTGAATTATACATTTTCTCATGCATGGTAGCCTGCTAGCCGATAGCTTACAAGTCATCTGCGTGTTCTTACTTTGTTCTGCCAAGCATCTTCGTTCTCTCCTCCCCTGTGCCCTGAGATCTCTGGCAATCTTATTGTAATGGTTCCTTGTTTTACTGTGTGTGTGTGTGTCTCTTTAAATGTTTGGTTGGAGTGCAGTGATAGCAGAGTAGAATGATTGAGGGAGACAAGTGTGCTGTGATTGGAGGATGACAGAGTGTGGGAGGAGTTGTTCTGTGTGGATCTGTGTGAGTGTCAGTCAGTTATGAAAGTCAGTTAGAAAAAGTTGTTGGAATTGTTCAGTTAGAGAGTTCAGTCAGTGAGAGTTCTGATAGTCTGTGTGGGATCTAAAAGAGTGCAGTCTTATGTCTTAAAAAGTGAGACTCTAAAGATCTGGAAGGAACTTAAAATTACCTGTGTGGGAGATTCCTGTCAGAGTGGGATCTTAATGTCAAAAGGACAGTGTGTGAGATACATTTGTCAGACATATTTACAAGTCCCTTATTCCCAAACAGTTACAGAATAAGCAACCTCATATTTTGGTCTTATTTCAATAAATCGTCTTTTGTTCAAGTTTATCCCAGAATTCAGCTCTATCTTTCCTCAGGACCACATAGATCCCCGAAAAGCCCAGACTCTGGGTCACATTACCAACAGCAAAGGAGAGAAGGTTTGGAAGTCCTTAAATTCTTGGTGGCAGTAGAAAATACCCAGTTTACAAAAGCAAAGAACACAGATAAAGTGAAAACCAGTCCTCCCAAATAAGAGGGGGCCACACTGCTTCTCTTGACTCCTTAATACTCGACGGGAGCCACGATGGTCTATCAAAAACTCATTCCAGCTTAAAAACAACAACAACACGTTCCTAGAAAGCAACCAGAGCACCGGTTCCCGGCAAGGCGGGATATAAATGGAAAATAATAAATAAATAAGATAATATTGGGAACGCAGGTTTCGGAACCTTGTGAAGATTTCTCAGCAGCAGCCTGGTGTGGTCTTCCCACAATGGAAAGAAGGAATTTCGGAAGACTGTTGCAAACGAAGCATGCCCATCGTGTTAGGGTAGGGGGGGAGGAGGAACTCCCCGCCACACCCTGACCCTCACAGCTCTGGCCCATGGTCAGGGGGGAGTCCCCCCCAGATTTGTTCCCGTGTTCAGTATAGGATCTCAGCTGTTTACTGCCCTCCGAAGGGGGTGTCACAGCTCCAGACTAGCTTCCAAGCACAGAACACTGACTCAAAGGAACGTGGTGTGTGAGAGACACTGAAACTCTTGCCCGGCCTAATATTAACCCTTGCCAGATATAGGAATGCAACACGTTGAATTCAGCAAAGAATTACGCAAGAGCCCTCTGAAGTCTCCCATCTGCACATGTTTAGGATTCATTGTCATCATCTCTCCCCCCACCCCCCGGTGTATACCTGTTCTGGGAAACCGAGGCACCAGTAATGCAGCATCCCCAGGTTAGCCGTCGGTCATCCTTCTGTTCTTTTCTCTGGCCTTAAGACTGCTAAATAGGCAAGGTCAGCTGTGCTTTTCCGTTTGTATTCCCTCCCCCTCCAAGTAATTAATGGACTCCACCGCACGAAAAGTGTTACGTGTGTTGCCTTGTGATTCATGCAGGCGCTTCCCAATAGGTGGGAATACGTGGGAAGCAGGAAATCGCAAAGTGAAAACTGCACACAAGCTCTTGCTAATTCTGAAATTCCCCTTAAAACTCCCTGTGGCAGGTGGAGCAAGATTGGGACAGAACAGAACCAAACGGGGAGTAAGGACTTGAGAGAGACCCAGCGGTCCGTCTGTTCTGTCCCCAGGGAGCCAAAGAAGCCCAGGTAATTGAACCTCTCTGGTTCTCAAGACGGGGGTGGTGGTGGGGAATCACAGCTGCCTTCTGCCAGTAAAGCTCAGTGAAGACCTGCTGAGAGGACAAAACGGAGACGTGATTAAAATGTGGAGTTCACTACCAGAGGATGCAGTGATGGCCACAGGAATAAACAGCTTTAAAACGGGATTAGATTCATGGAGGATAAGTCTATTAATGGCTACTAGCCATGGTGACTGAGGGGAACCTCCACACTCAGAGGCACTAATCCTCTGAATCCCAAAGCCAAGAAACAACATCGGGAAGGCCTCGGCCTCCCTAGACTGTCACTGCCCCTCCAGAGGAACTGGTTGGCCTCCGTGTGAGACAGGATGCTGGACTAGATGGACCCCTGATCTGAGCCAGCAGGGCTCTTCTGATGTTCTGATCAGGGAAAGGCCTCTGCCTCTCTGCCCTGTTGTTGGCCCTCCAGAGGAACTGGTTGGCCTCCGTGTGAGACAGGATGCTGGACTAGATGGACCCCTGATCTGAGCCAGCAGGGCTCTTCTGATGTTCTTCTCAGGGGAGAGCCGTTCAGGTCAGCCTAGGGCTTTAGATCCTGGCTGTTGAAGGCACTTTGATTTATTAAGTGTATTGTATCGCTGAGCAAGTTCAGCTGACCATCTAAATAAAGTGATTTGGCTTTATGTAGTGTGAGAGAGACACTGAAACTCTATAGCCCAAGGCTCCTGAGGCGTAAACAAAGCCTGATAAACCTGCCGCATTTAGGACTTTCCCCTCCTGGGTCAGGTTGGCAAGGGGAAGGACATGCTTTACCACCCCCACCCCCCACAGCCACCCACAATCCACAAGACAACAAAGACCTGCCAACAGCACAAATATATTTTCTTCCAAGCCGCTGCTTTACCAGAGGATAAAAGGCTCGAATTCTTCCCCACCAAAACCCATCTCGGTAAAACAGTCAAGGTGCACCCCACGCTGTCTGGACCGGCTCCTAGGGTTGGTGGTCTCAGCCCCCTGCCCATTCCAAAGGGGCCCTCTGGAGGAGGTTCCTCACTCAAGACACGATCCCGCAGGGCTTCTGGGAAAGCGTTCTCTCTCTCTCCCGGCCTCCAGGGCCCTCATCTCATGGCCAAAGTGTAGACATGGTAGATTTCATCTGGGAAGTTATCCTGCTTTTCTTGGGCTAAAAGGCTGAGCCCGGCCCGGCGGATGATCTTGCAGACCACGTCCAGGTCGCGGCACACGCTGCTGTCCACGTCATCCATGATGACGCCTTCCTGGGCCATGTTGTCCTTAATGACGATGAGGCCTTTGGGCTGAAGGCCGAGCCGACACCTCTTCAGGAAGTTGGAGAGGTCGTCGTCCGTCAGGTGTCCTGGATGGGGGAGAAACAGAGGCAGTAAAGAGAGCCCTGATGGAGCAGACCCAGGGGTCCAACGTCCTGTTTCCCCACAGCCAGTCGTGGGCCTCTGGGAACCTTCCATGAAGGCAACTGTTGCCATCTCGCTGTGTGTGTATAAAGTGCTGTCAGTTCACAGCCCACTGATGGTGACCTGCAAGAGATGTTCGTAGGTGGTTTCTCATTGCCCACCTCTGCGTAACAATCCTGGGCTTTCTAGGGGGCCTCCCATCCCACCCTTGCCAGACCATTCGCTTGCTCCACCAAATCTGCTTAGTAGCAAATGCCGCCATATCGTCTTTAGGAGCCCATTTGGTGTAGCGGTTAAGAGTGTGGACTCTAATCCGGGAGAACTGGGTTTGATTCCCCACTCCTCTTCTACATGCAGCTGCTGGTGTTAACCTTCGGTCAGTCATAAGTTCTTTCAGAGCCGTTCTCTCAAGAGCAGTCCTTGAAAGAGCTCTCTCATCCCCACCTACCTCACAGGGTGTCTGTTGTGGGGAGGGGGAGGGAGAGGAGTTTGTAAGCCGCTCTGAGAGACTCTGGGTGAAGGGCGGGGCATCAATCCAGTCTCCTCTTCTTCTAAGGCAGTGGTCTTCAAGCCACGAGTCAGGACCTTCAGGCGGGTCACAGAATCTACTGAGCCACCCTTTACTGCTGTTTTCTGGAAGGTCCATTCCACTAGTGCCTCCTGTCTCTCTCGGCATGCATACACACAGTGAGAACAGTGTTAGGATGACGGGGCAAGGCAGACAACAGTGGAGAGGCTACTTTTGAGCACAGGAAGGTTCAGAGAATGTGCCTACCCCTTGAAGAGCTCTTCCTCGCCCTCTCCCGCTTTCCCCCAGCCCAACCCAGCACGGCTAAGAAGAAGAAGAGATTGGATTTATACCCCTGCCCATCAATGCTCCCTCTAAGCTGTGGAGTCTTGTGAGCAAAAGTTCTACTTTGTGAGCGGCTGGCATCAAAGTTGTGAGCAAGCAATTTGGCTACTGCATAAATTAGCTTGCTCTGGAGCCGTCCTTCCTGAGCTAAGACAAAAATCTGTGAGCTGGAGGCTAGAAAACTGTGAGCTAGCTCACACTAACTGAGCTTAGAGGGAACACTGCTGCCCGTCACTACCTAACCCCTTCACCCGTCAATTCTGCATGTGTCCTTATGCGTCCGGCCCCACTGGCAGACCTCCTGAGGCCACCTGGGTTTTGGCCACTGTGTGACACAGAATGTTGGACTGGATGGGCCACTGGTCTGATCCAACATGGCTTCTCTTATGGTCACTGAGTTCCCACAGCTCTGGCACCTCTTCTCCCCATCATGTGACCTCTCATGTGCATGCATTGCAGTCTGGTGGGCCCCATGACGCCCACCTGGATTTTAGAAAAGGCTGGAGATGCCCTGTTCAGAGGAAGGGTTAGGCTTTTATGGTTTGGCTCACACATGCGAGAGAACAAGAGGGCACCACTTAAGGCTGCAGGTGGCAGCATCTAGCTTTTGAGTGTTTACCACTAAAAAAACCCTCTGCAAGTAGAAACGTAGCAGAGCAGGGAGAAGCAGTCAAGGTTAGAAAGAACTGCTTGCTGTGCTGGCTTCCTATTCGCAACACTCTTTCTAATTTTTAACATGGAAGAACATTCCAGAAGGTGATCCTCCTCTTGCGGTCAGAATGGACTGCACCGTTTCAATCTCCTATTTCTTGTGCGGGCCAGGGCCAGGGCCTCCGCTTGGTGCTTTTCAACGCTCTCTTTTAAACCTGCTACTTGAAAGAGTTCTCACTCAACACTTCCATATATTTGCTGAATGCAACATTAAATTTCATTTTGACCTCTTCGGATGGCTTTGGTGTTGATTACATTCTATATTTTTATAGTTATCATTTATGTATTTATTGAATGCTGCCTTTCCACCCGATCAGGGTTTATAAGGTGGCAAACATAAACAAATTAAAAGCCTTGAACAATTAAAAAGAACATTTAAAATGATAAATTAATTCATTAAAAAGACGTAAAGAAACAACACCAGACACCAGGGAGGAGGGCCAGTAACTGCTGTTGGAGGTATGCCAATTGTAACAAAAAAGGCTTCACCCGCTAGTGGAAGATACCAATAGAAGGAGATGGGCAAATCTCCCTGGGGCGGGAGTTCAAAAGTTTTGGTTCCACAACTGAGAAGGCTTTTTGGGCCTCCAAAGATGCCCGGAGGGAATGTGTGGGTTCACAAGGGAGAAGGTGGTCCTTCATATATGATGGTATGTTATAAGCAGGGGTCATTTTCTGCAGGAGCGCACAGGAGCGGAGCTCCGGCAGTAAGGAGCCCAGGGGGTGGGCACATGCAACAAGCCCCGCCCCCTGCTCCCAGCAGCCCTCAGTTGGGCCACAAGGAGCAAGAAGCAGCCAGGTAAGTTGCGGAGGCCCCCCCCCCCGCCTTCAAGTATAAGCTCTCCCTCCTCTGTGAGGGACAGATCTGCATGTCCCCCCCAATAGCTAGCAATCCACAACAGTCCAGTGGAGCCTGAGTGGTGGGTGTTGCCTTCAGTTGTCAGGGGGTGTGGCATATGCAAATAAGTTAAGCTAATGAGCTCCTGCACCTCTTTTTCTACGAGACGACCCCTGGTTATAAGCAATGCTCCCTGTAAGGTGTGGAGTCCTGTGAGCAAAAATTGTACGTTGTGAGCTAGTGGCATTAAAGTCGTGAGCGAGTGATTTGGCTACTGCATAAATTAGTTTGCTCTGGAGCCATCCTCCCTGAGCTAAGGCAAAAATTTGTGAGCCAGAGGTTAAAAAACTGTGCGCTAGCTCACAGTAACTCAGCTTAGG